GAGTTCTTTTTATTACCAAAAAAATGATTAAAATGCTATTAGCATCAAATTATACAGTTTGGAAACTTTTAGAAAAAGCATTAAGGCAGGAAATAGTAGTAACATTTGGAAAAGAAAAACTCTCATGATTTGCCATTCATGTTACTGTCAAACTAGCATGTTATATTCAAACCCAAGAGAAACAATAAAAATCCATTAGCAAAAATGAGAAAGTTCAATGAGGTATAACAGAAATCAATGGCTTTCCTATATAATACCAATAAATAATCATAAAATATGATGGAAAAATATTACATCCATAGTAGCAACAAAAACAAATACAATTCTTAGAAAAATATTCTACTGGATATGTTCAGGGTCTATAAAAATAAAAATACTAAATTTTACTGACAAAAGAATGCTTAACATTTTTAAAAATACACTGTGATGTTGGATGAGGAGACTCAGCACTGTAAAAATGTCTATTTTTTTCCAAATTAAAATATAAGTTTAGTGACAGTCCAATAAATTTCAAAGGAAGAATGGCAAAATTATTCTGAATTTCCATTTTAAAAGATGCAACAATATCTAAGAAAATTTTGCAAAAGAAAACTAATATGGGAACATATTTCCATACCAGCTATTAAAACACATTATAAAGCTACAATAAATAGTATGATGGTACTAAGCCCTAAAATCAATGAATAGATTTTTAGAAAAGATGACTTTGAAAAAAAATCAAAATATGTAATAACTGAATCTGATGAATAAATGTTCATAAGCCAGTAGGGGAAGAAGAGAATAATACAAAAAATGGTGTGGGGAAAATCAATAATCTCTGCTTAGACTTTCACCCAATATCTTTCTGTTGCCTACAAGGCCCTAGATATTTTGGTTCCTTGTACTTTTCAAACCACATTTAATAACTTGGCTATCTCTGTTCCAAACTCCTAAGCCACCCTTCTGTCTCTCAAGCATGCAAAGCTTGTTCCTGCTTTGACCCCTGCTGTTCACTCCGCATGGGGGTCCCTTACTTTCGAAAATCACCTCCTTAGAGATGGCCAGTCCCTGATAACCAATTCTCAGATGTGCTATTTTCATCCTCACACCAGGCACTCTCTATAAATGGCACTGTAACCCTCTGAAATTACCTTTTTTAACATGTTCATTGTTTGTTTCTCTGGCTAGATGTAAATTCCCTAAGAGTAAAGTCTTTATTTCCTTTCTTCTCAAGTGTTCAGGGTCTAGAGAAGCTTTCAGCATTACTAGAGGCTTAGAAAACTTGTATGGGCGTGTGCATACATATATCTGTATATATATATGTTTATATGTATATGTATCTGCATATTCCTATATATGGGGGGGTGAGTGTGTGTGTACATATACATATATGAAATGACATAAGGATTCCAAATATAGATTTGTCTTATACACAATAATTTTGTATTAAATGTACACAGGAACAAATATTTATCATAATGAATTTAGTGGAACAGCAAGACATTCAGTTACAAATTTATTAATAACAGTGAGATATCTATTGTTATTCATTATTATCACATAACGTCATTTAATTATAATGTTATCCTCATCACTTATTTTTATCATCATCAGCCACACTGTAAATAGAGCATGATGAGACTCTTCGAGAGCTAATGTTCAATTCCAATTGAATTCAGACCCTGTCTTTTACCCATGGTGATTCTTACTTTCCCTACAAACTCAAGGGCCCCAGTGTAAAGCAATCAAGAGGTAACTAATTGGAAATGCTTCCTCTAAATGAGAGAAGGCAAGACTAAATGTACTCTTTTGAACAGAGTTTGAGTGTTCCTTATCTAACTCTGCTCCTGCTTCTCTCTCTCCCTCTCCCCTATCTCCACACCATGTCGCATTCTTCATGGGCAACCCCATCTGCTGACATCTGTCATGCCTCATGCTTCAGTTCCTAGTTGTCCTCCCACCACTTACTATAAAATTGTTGGGGTGGGGGCGTGGGAAGACTGCTATAAGCATCATGAAGTGAGAAAAACCATTTTGTTGTTATTGAAATAAGAAGACAAGAAGCTGGGAATCTGTAAAATACACTCAAAATTTAGTCCCTGGATCATCCAAGATCTGAGAGCTGTACAACAGAAACTCTTCCCAAAAAAAGCAGGCAGTAAAAGATTTTTTTCCCTAATTGTTATATGTTTCACATCATAAACGACCAATCACAGTCAACAGACAGCATTTGCTTCTTTGTTGGGGGGGCTATGTGTGGTTTTTGTCAGGTTCCCTGTGGTAAAAGGATCAAAGAATACTGCTGAAAGGAAACATTCTTCAATATTCTTACACCGTTTGGGGCAGTTTAGTTATCCACTTCTTCCAGAACAGGAAATGTACAAGAAAAAAAAAACTGGACTGAATCGCTCAGATAATATAGTTACATGTCTTTATTAAGCTTTCTTTTTTTTTGAGAAATGTTTCACAATAAAGTATTAGACTCACTGCTGACCTCTGGAAAGGTCCAATGCAGCCTCAGGACTCGTGTGGCCAGACCAACCCATATGTTTGGTTTTATTAATACATCTGTCCTAAAGAGTGAAATTTCACAACTATGACCCCATGAAGAAAAACTGATCCCCAACCTTTTCTTCACAGTTTTGACAAAACAGAAACTGGCTCTGCTTTTCATTTTTAACCTTTCCATATTTTTATCAGCCTCCTGTGGAAGTTACTACTCAAAGGTTAAACTCTTGTGTAATCTATTTAAATTTATTTATTGAACATTAAGAAGAAACATTACGTAATGATACTTTTCCATCCATTCCAATCAAAAATATATATTATTGGATCCATTCTGTAACCAGAAGCTAGCTACACATAGACTTATTTAATTTTCCTCCAGTTAAAAAAATTTTCTACATGTTCCATAGCCCCAGATTTGCTTCATAAGAAAAAAAGTTGAAAGAACATATTGTTTTTCATGTTCCTGCTCTTTAACCAACTTAAGACAATACACAAACTGAAACCATGAAACAAAATCATTCTACATAAAAATAAGATAAACATTTTTGTATCACATCATGATTTTTATAGTATAAAGATAATAGCTACCTGCCACCTATGTTTAATATCGATTCCAGGCAAAAAATGAGCACACCGCATATTTCTCAGCCCAGGTAACCTCCACTTATGCTATTATTTAATCCTTTATATGTCTTGTAATTACAAATTTGCATTGAAATAGAAAGAAAAATGCCCAATAGAGGTTTCTGCCAATATTTCCAAAGAAATTTTGCTTCAACTCCAGTATTCTAAACTTCATGCTCTGATGGGTATGACCATATGTGTGTCTCCTTCAGGAACAGAAAGTTTTTGGACTTGGATGCCTCCAAAGTAAGTGAGGCAGTTTGGCCAGAATGGACATAAATAAAGATCCTTTCTTTTTTTGAGTATTAAAAGTCAAGGAATTACAAATGTCAGCAAGCAGAAAACACAGATTACCAACAGGGATGATGATTTCAAACAGGGATGGAAGGGAGTTATCAAAATAGAGACCCAAGAACCTAACTTTCCAAATCACACCTATATATCTACATTCGGCTTTCAGAAGCTAGTGTCAAACATTTACCTTCTTTTTTGCTGTCTGACTCTTCCTCACCTGGTCATCTTAACTCTGTCTCCTGGCTAGTCCTATCCTCTGGTTACTGAGTCAATTTGACTCCCAACCTGGAATTTAGACTTTATACTGTGTTAGGGATACATCAGTGAAGCAAAGAAAATCTCTGCCCTCAAGGAGCTTACATTCTAGGTGTAGGAAAAAGACTATAAACAAAATAAATAATTAAAATATCAAATAATAGATGGCCATACATCAATAACAGTAGTCAAACTTTTCTGACCCATAAAAATGGCAATGTTATAAGAGTTCATCTATATATTAAATGGTAATAAGTATTATTTTTTAAATGAAGCAGAGAAGAAGACTAGGTAGTAAAGTAGATGAGAGAGTTAAGGCAGAGAGGGTTGTTGAGCATTTAATATGTGGCTAATTCAACTGAAGGATAGAATTTTTAATGTTATTTGAATAAATTAATTTAAATTTAAACAACCACAAGTGGCTAATGGCTACCTATCCAGAGAGTATGGTTCTAAGTCTTGCCTCTTAAATGCCTTTTTAAATTAACTGACAGTCTTCCATCAAGACGGTTCTCAACTACAGACAACTTAGGCTCTAATTCTCATTCTTTGTCTATCTGTCTGAATTTCTGACCGCAGACTTTCTTCCTGAAATGTTATAGAAATGCTTCCAGAAAACGATGGCCCAATCCCCAGCTCAGAAGCATGAGCCTGGCAAAACCCTGGTCTCTGCCCACTTGCCCATGTTAAGAAGAAGGATAGGAACCCTTTTGTTAAGAAAAGTGAACATTAACCAGATTTATTAAACATTACATGTAGACCAAATGTAAGAGATTAAATCCAGCAACATATCAAAAGCACTCTCAAAACCTAAAATTCTAGGTAGACAACTATTTATAAAATTATTTTGTATTCAAAGGAGAATCCCGGTACCAGAAACCTTACAGAAATCCACCATCACCTCAAAGCATCTAACAAACACCAAGTATTATTTAGCATCACATATCATGCAGCCAGTCCTCTGACTCATTAATCAAAAAGTACAACTTTCTCTTTCCTGCTGTTCTCAAGGAAGATTACTTCAATATCCAAAGTATTATTTTCATAATTTACTGTCATTCATAGGAAACTTATTATATATTCTTACACAAAATATTGGGCTAACTCCTGTCTTTCATTCTACATTCTTAAATCTATTATAGCTATTTGATTTCAAATGAATATATATTTCTTATTATCTGCCAGACTTTATAACCTACAATCAGTAAGTACGGTTTCAAACATAATATTTAACTGGTATAGAAAGATGAAGTAAAATATAGTAAGAAAAAACTTTACAAATGGATAAGAAAGAGGAGTCAGTGTGCATCTGACAAAAGCAAGTCCAGCTCAACACTTACTGATTTAGCACGACATCGAGAATGAACGACGTTCCAAAGGCATCAACCTGGAAGCTTGCTCGGTCAACGTGAGTCAACTATAATACCAAAAAGATAAAAGGTACTTATTATGCAGCCATATTAATCAGACAATTAGTCTTTCTTATGATTATTTCAAAACACTTACAGTCTCATAATAATTCAACATGGAGAATCAGTGAAAACAAAGTAAAATGTACGCCTTCTTAGAAGCCAAGTATTCACCAATCTGAAGTAAATTACCACCCAATCAAGGAGAACAAGTGCCCTACTTTTCTAGTTTACCTCAAGAAGTTAAGTATTTCATTTCCAAGATGACTGCACTTCATTCAACTTATCTGATTTTAAGTGACTAGCTCCTTTAAAATGAAGTTTTGTACATTTGGAAAAAAAATAAGTAAGACATGCTCAATTCAAGAATAAAATAACATGGTGAATATGATCTATTTAGAAAGAAGATATATAAACCTCCAAAAAAAACCTTTTTCACATATCAAAAGACATACTTTAAAAATAGTATTTCAGTCCTAATTTACCAGACCTAATTTCATCCAGGTTTCCACATCTTCCTTAAAACAAAATTGAACCTCTGCACATCTATTGTCAGTATGCCCTATCAAAATGTTCTTGTGTTAAAAAAAAAAAAAATCATTATTTCCTATGCTATCCTAGGAACTCCCAGAGAGAAAGAACAAGGGACTCTTAACTAAAAAAAACAGTGTTTCCAATAACATTAATATTTGCATACTGAACACTCATGTGTATTAATTGAAAAGAAAAAAGGAAGAAAAACTGTGTGTTCCATTTGATTCACCAAATACAAACAATAGCTATATCCAAACAGTAGGAACTCAAAGTATTGGAAATGTTTGCATTTATGTTTCTACAGTATCCAAACCTCTAAAATAAACATGTACCATTACTAAAATGAAAAACATGTGACAAACATTATTTTAGAAATTAAAAGCCACATGAGCAACGGCAAACAGTATGTGAGGCCAACAGTGCTGCTGCTCCCTGAGAACCAGGGTAACCCAGGAAGGAACATCTAAGGTTTCTGTGGGGCCACAGGGGACCTCAACCATCCCTGAGATTTCACACACAATAAACTATGAGATGAGGTGAAAGGAGAGAGTCTGATTAGTAATAATAAAGCTTTTTGGAAAGTAAGGATAATTCTTCTATTTTAAAGTCTGTTCTCCTATTTTAAAGAAGTAGGTATGGGAGAATCCTGTAACTCTGTTGCTAATACATTCTAACCCTCATAAAACCTCAAAATTTAAGAACTATCTGGGTACATCTCAGCCTCATTAACCGTTCAGCCATAACTCCTAACTCTTCTCAACTAATACCCAGCATCAACTAAACTTTGTTTTCTTTATGGTAGTTTTTGGAGCCACAACTTACTCTTCATTTACACCTCTGCCACATTAGCATCTCCCTCTGATCTTTCTAAAGGTGACTCCTTATCAAAACCCCTAATGTAAGCCCTAGGTTTTCTAATATATCCAAAACAAAACAAAACAAAAAACAAAAAACCTTTTCCCTGGATTTCAGAATCTTCCATAATCACCTTCCCCACCCCAGACATAATGGTGCACAAGCACCTACCCATAGCCCACCCACAGTCAGTTCTCTCTTCTATTCCTTAGTTCAAAAGCTGTGTTCATTCCAACACTTCCTGTGGTTTTTTCATTCATTAATTTTGCTGAGCCCTTTTCTGAACTAGACCTTTCACCAAAGCTGTTTCCCAGAAATGGCCCTACTCATCCTTCAAGATTTAGATCAAGTTCCACCTGTAGTCATCTAGGACTGCTAAAACAAAATACCACAGACTGGGTGGGTTAAACAGAAATTTACCTTCTCACAGTTCTGGAGCCTAGAAGTCCAAGGTTAAGGTGTTGGTAGATTTGGTTTCTCCTGAGGCCTGTCTCCTTGGCCTGCAGATGGCCGTTTTCTGTGTGTCCTCACATAGCCTTTTATGTGTAAGTGTACATGCCTTGTGTCTCTTCATCTTCTTACAAGGACACCAGCCATACTGGATTAAGGTCTCCCCTTACAACCTCATATAATCTTAATGACCTCCTAAAGGTCCCCCATTTCCAAACATGGTCATGTTGAGGATTAGAGCTTCAACATATACATTTGAGGAGGGCACAATTCACTGCATAGCACCCCTCTTGCATAAAGCCTTTCCAACCACTTCTGGCATCCTCTCCTCCTCACTGCAGGTCAATATCACATCAAGACCTCAGTACTGACCAGGTACTCAGTTAATCTACTGATTGCCTGATTCATTTGAAGGTTGTTATCAATTCCCTGGATGTATAAATGTACAACTGAACAGCTATAAATTACCTGCTTATAGAGGTACTCTTTCCATAAGAGTTGCTTTTAATTCCATGTCAATAGATAACATCGCTCCTTCTACCTAAAGCTCCTTGAGTTTCCTAGAATGCTAACAGCCACATTTTCGGAAGGGCCTCTGCTTACCAGAATTGATGTTTCAGTTAAAATGAACCTCTCCCTCTTCCATTCTTCTTGTAGGACTATTGGTGCTCTTATGTCAATTTCCTTTGAATCAGAAATATTAATGTCGCAAATCTGTGTTGAACAAGGCAGGGACCACATGTCATTCACCTTGATATCATGGTTACAGCTTGGATTGAGGTAATGTTAACATTCTGTTTGGCAAAGTATTTACTATCTACATTAATTCTAATTATTTTCTTTTTTCCTGCAGCTCCATTTTATGTCTGGTATCTTATTTTACTGATCTCAGTGATGTCCCAAAGAGAAACTCATGCATTTACATTAAAAAAAAATCCAATGACAGAAAACTACTAGTTAGTAAAAATGTTTGCATTATTGATAGTAAAAGGAACGGGAGTATGTTAACATAGTTTCAATATAAGGCAAGCTTCCTTAGTCTGTATACAGATTGATTCATTCAATAACCTTCTTTTTTTTTCTTTTTTTAAAATTATACTTCACTCAATAACCTTCTTTTGAGAGCCTACCAAGTCCTAGGAGCTATTTAGATTTAGCGGATAAAGTGAAGAAAACTGATCATCTTTCTGCTCCTGTGGAGCTTATGTGATAGCAGAAAATGAACAATTAAATTAAAAATGTTTAGAAAATAAATTTCCTATTCTCAGACTTAATAAAACAGGGAAATGCTATCAAGAATGACCAGGGAAGATGGATGTCTAAGGGTGTCCTAGAAGGCCTCCAGAAGGAAGTAACATCCAGGTAACAACATTAATAACTAGAAGGAATCTATGGTAGGGAGAATAATGACCCCTAAATATGCCTATAACCTGATATCCAAAACCTACAAATATGTTTCCTCACACAGAAAAAGGAACTGTGCAGATATTGTTAAAGACCTTGACTTAAGGAGATTATCCTGGATTGTCTGGATGGGCTCAATCTAATCAAACGAGTCATTATAAGTGGAAGCCAAAGGGATTAAAATCAGAGAAGAAGATATGATGATGGAAGTAGAGATCAGAGTGATAAGAGGAAGAGGGCAAGAATCACGGAATGCAGGCAGCAGCCTCTAGAAACCAGAAAGGCAAGGAACAAATCTCCCTTCGGGCCTCCAAAAGGAGCACAGCACTGCCAATACTTCATCTTATCCTTTTAAGATCCATTTCAGGCTTCTGACCTCCAGAACTATAGACAATGAATTTCTGGTTTTTTTCAGGCAACTAAGTTTCTGCTAATGTGTTATAGGGACAACAGGAAACTAATAGAGTGTCACTGGTATTGTCCCTGAACATCTTGAAAAGCAGCTCCAATGAGCTGACTGCATCAGTATTCAACGTCACCTTCCTCTACAGTTTAGCTAAAACCAAGACATTTCCAGCAGCAAGACTGAAACTCATGAGGCCTTAAGTATCAGACTGAAAACACAGGACTTCACAGTCAAACCAAACTTGCAGTGGTGATCACTAAAATAAAAGTGAGCCTGGTTTCGCTGCATTTTGTGTAGCCTTCCAACACTCAGGAACCTACCTTCCCCATGTTTCTGGCTCATAAATAGGCCAAAGAAAAGAAATAGGGTTGCTTTTTTTTTCTTTTTTTGAGGCAGAGTCTCACTCTGTCACCCAGGTTGGAGTGCAGTGGCATGATCTCTGCTCACTGCAACCTCTACCTCCCGGGTTCAAGAGATTCTCTTTCCTCGGTCTCCCGAGTAGCTGGGACTATAGGCGTGTGCCACCATCTTGTATTTTTAGTAGAGATGGGGTTTCACTGTGTTAGCCAGGATGGTCTCAATCTCCTGACCTTGTGATGTGCCCTTGTGATCTCAGCTTCACAAAGTGCTGGGATTACAGGCATGAGCCACCATGCCCGGCCTGGTTGCTTCTTAAAATTATCTTGGAGGAGGAATAAAATAAGTAGAATTACACTGAATTGGTATATTATCAGGCTTATCATTTAACGCCACTGAAGTGAGGCAGGATGGCTCTCAGAAAGTTACGTGTAGACCCTGCCTTTTTAGTTGAAGGAAAAATGGTATGTTTGAGAAGAGAGAATCAATATATTATCAAGATTTTCCTTTAGTGGGGGAAACAGGCTAAGATATCACCAAGGAAAAGTTCTAATATTTATTAACTTTAAGCTGAAGATTAAAAAGTACTAATACCTCTCATAGATACTAGAAAAACATAATTTTGCAGAAATGAGCTCTTTCAAATTACTACACAAGAATGGTGACTTTAAAAACTATTAAACAAGTACTTCAGGTATCACAGAATAATACTGAGAGAATTCCTAGAGCTCATATAATACAAGAGTCTTAGTTTATAAATAGGGAAACTGAGGCCAGCAGGGGCAAAAGTCACATATTTGGTGGCAGAGTAGGCATTTCACCTCCTGATAGGCCTTTTTCATTATATTTGAACCCTTGCTTTCATTCTATAGCTTGGAGGTACCTGCAGGTTTTACTGGGTTCTAATGAAAAATTATTGTAATAGAAGTCTTCTCAGTATCATGAAAATGCTCTAAATAGCATTTTTAGCAGATATAACAAGAAAATCAAAACATAAAAAAC